CCATTGGCTTTATGTTCAATAATTTGGTCAGCTTGGATACTGAACTGCAACATTTTCCTATCAAACCACGGTTGAATCAAATCAACCGTTTTCCGATTCTGGTTGCGAAACGGTCACGCTATGAGAGCTATCTGACATTTCGGAGCGAAGAAAAGATAGACAATCGGTGAAAGACAGTGTCTTAACCAAAGAGAAGATGTGTCAGAGAATGTCTGAACATTCGGCCATTTGTATCCTCCGGTGCGCACCGAACAGTTATAAACGTCGAAGTGCCCGAATGAACGCCCGCACACTGTGTGACCAGTCAATTGCGTTCGAGGGCTCACTCAGTTTCGAAGCTTTTGTTTGTTGTGATTTTGTCACAAAATGACGTTTTTGACATTTTTTTACTCAAATTTGGCCTTCCTGAAGAAATTTTTGCGAGCCGATTACTAAAATTTGAAGACATTCGAAGGGCTGATGAATAATTCTTCTTAACAATTTGGTAACAAATACACGCCTTAGCAATGATCAAAACGAGCTTCTCGTTCTCTGCCGCGTTCCAAATAACCATTTCTTTTACATTTTGAACTGCTGACTGCAACAGTGGTTTCCGATCATACGGAGATCGCTACATGACCAGTCTCCGAAATTTTTCTTTTTTCTTCTTTGGTTCGCGAATCGTTTAACTAAATATAGAAAGCCCAAAAATCGATGTTGCCAAAATGCTGCCTCACATTTTTATTCTAGTCACTGAAAGTTATTGTGACTGCGAATTTGTGTTACTCTTGAGTAGTATATGTGATGAATCAAAAATTGTCGTGTGGCGAGTTATTGTGACAATTATCGGAACGATAAATATTTTTACCCTCATTCAATATAGTTAATTTATACATGGTAAGATCAAATTAAATTAAATTTTCTACGTTGCTTTATTTAGTCTTCATTGACTGCCTAGTTATCTCAGAATCGACGCACGTCTTGCCGAATTGATGCACCAGTCTGACGACTTTACTGCCTTGAATGGAGATGTTCGAGCACCCGCCAGCTAGTTCGGAGGGTGATGATCAGGTGAGTAAGGTCGACATACCGGCAACCCCGGGGGGAGGGGGCGTCTTGAGTTCAAATCCCGGTTTTTTCCCAGACAGCCATCATTTGGTTGCAGCCCCGTTCCAGGGAGGGGAATATACAATCGCATATTTAATAAAAAAACCAGGTAAACCATTCAATAGTTCTTCTGATGACGAATCTGCTCTTGAATGCGCTAAATAGTTCTTCAGTCTCGTATTGACACCAAACTACGAGCAATAACCCTAGTCCTTGTATACTGAGTAGCATACGAATGAATGGAAAAAAATTCTCAGAGGCACAGAACCGGTTTCGTGGTCCTTGTCGCTCGCCAGGTAGGCGTTGTTCGTCTCAAATCCACTACCCAAACTGCTAATGAGATTTGCATTGCATAACTTTAGTCCTTGGTCTGGATCAGTCGTTTATTTCCAAATGTATAGTGATTCATTTAACCAAATGTGTTACCAGCTTCCTTCCTTTTTTCTTTTTCTTTCATTTTTACTTCCTTTTATTGAATAGAGGGATACAATTTTCAGGAGGGAGGAAGCGAACAACCCAAAGGCTGCCATACCACACAGAGAATCGGGGTTAGGCGGTGGTGGCTAAATTCAAACATGTCCCCTGAGGTGATAATTTAATTGACGTTACTACCGGGTCACCACCGCCTAATCACAATCACCTACGCTCATTCAATATTCTTTTCACAAACACAAATACTTTGGATGGGTAAATTCGAATGCGAAAAAATCAGTGCTATCGATGTGGCCTTGTAGCTCAGCTGGTAGAACGTGCGCTGTACAATACAGCGCAGGCAGCGTCCATGGGTGGGTTTGAATCTTACTGAGGTTACTGAACTTTTCACATTCTCGACATAAAAACTTCAATCTGCCAAACAGCTATTTCAACAAATGAGTTTCTCCTCAAACAACAGTTGCATCCGGTTTGCCCATTCTGTTCACAGAACGCCCAGGTCCAGGGGATAGGTGTGAACTGCTTTCTCTTGATCTAAACGTTCGTGGTTGGCACGGTTCCGTTATGCTCGAAATCGTATTGAACGTCCATTCTCGCAGTTCGAGAAGTTTGTAATAACTAATACTGAAAAGGTAAGCCAAATGGCAACCACAACTGTACGATCCCGTTAGAAAGAGAACTGACCTGGTATGAGTGAAATCCTGGATGGGTGGATCGTCCTGTTCCCGGCGCAACCCGACTTGAACCATCCGTATTGGATTCAGCGGTTGCAGCAGTTCCTTCATGCATATGGCCTGGACTGGCCTGTCCATAGCTGTGTCTTAGGGTATGACAAGCCTCACAGAATCGAATTGCTCGATTTCCAGTCAAAAATGTGCAACCTGGAGACCAACACGTGACCGAGGCTTGATTGTTTTTACTTCGGCAAGTCTTTGATTCGCAGGTCAAACTTATCTGTGGAAAGATTGAAATTAATTTCTCATTATCCTCATAGTTCCATTATTTTTGCGATATTAATGGAATCTGTGAGCAGCCTGCAACGAAAGCACCGCGATTCGTCCCAGACTGCAGCGGAACGTAACAAAGCGGAAATTTGAACATATTGTTGTTGTTGGTAGTAGTATTAGAAGCAGACTTAATTTCTATCTAAGTGGCATTAGGTGGATAACCTAAACTACTCAACCGCAACCGCGTCACTTCTATTCATCGAATACCGAAGTTCATGAAATGGATTTTAGCAATTTACCCACTACATAAATGAATTCACTCTGTGACAAATGATACGCTGAGGTGCTACTTATTCAAATAGGGCCTTGTAAGCGTAATTGTGAAAGAACTTTCGAGAAGTACCTTGTCAAAAAAACATCCTCATTGAACCACTTACGGTGGTATAAAGGGAAGATGATTGGATCACGCATCCATCGCCTCTGTTCTGGTCTATCTTCGACGTTTAATTCTAATCAAATCGTGGAATCGCTTATGACACCTCGATGGTAGTATACATCCCGCGACAAAACGATTGCATTCCCCTAGACTTTTGGACTATCCTCTCCTTTTTACAAGCAGGATCACTACCATTTTTGAGAATCAAGAACGCAGTGGTCGAACCTTTAATTGTAATCAAAATATATTGGAGAAAATCGAATTTTCACCGAGACAAACGTATTGCATCCCCTGTGAACTCTACCCATTGGAACTACTTTATTACTCTATAGAAGATTTCTAATCATGTCCGTGTCGATATTATTCCACTCCCTAATCAACAATGCCTCTAATTCATATTTTTTGGTGTAAACTCTGGTTTGTTGACGCACCTGTCAGGTCAGAATAGCCGAAATATTTTCTATTGGGTTTAAATCTGGGTTGCACGCAGGCCACACCGTTGGTTTGATACTGCGAAATAATGATCAGCGTTTAGTTAAATACGAGTAATAAATCACGGTGATATCATGCTGGAAAATGCCTTCAGGGTGATCATTGCCTTTTCCCTGAGAGCTTTATCCTGTATCCAAACTGTCTATGACTGGATTTTGGCTGTTTCCGCTTCAAATATTGTGTCACAATGTCACGGAGGGGACATATTATTTGTGCTCCAACCTAGTTGTTGAGGGACCGTGAGTGAACGTTATAATTTACTACCTATTTGTACTACCAATCAAACCCAGTATGCACAGAACCCATGGGCTTCAATAAACATCGGCTTTGAAACTTAATCATAATAAAAATTTGAATTCAATTTGAATTCGAGTGCAATAGTTTTGTCTTGGATTGTAATCACTCGGACATCGCATGACAAGTTCGCACCGAACAAGGAGTAATTTAGTACAGGAAATTTCCCAAAGAAATAAAAGTAACAACTGAACACCATCATCGGCAACAAAACCGATAATAAAGTATTGAGCGGAAAACGAATCTGTTAAGGAAAACAATGTACTGAGATCAAATGCAACGAGTTCCTGATTTTTAAAACACCTAGCTAAATAAGAAACTCATGGGACTTCTGAAAGCTCCATCGCGTGAATGCATGGTTGAGTTCGGAACCGAAGCCGGTGGGTGAAAAATAATGACACTTACTGTTGAGTAAGCACGGATAATATCGTTAGTCGGTTAAACGCCTGAAACGGTAATCTGATCAGTGACTTTTTTGAGAACAATCAAGAAATACCACTTAAGATCAAATTATTCACTAGATGGTGTGGCATAATGAATGAAAGGAATATAATTGCAGGATATGGTACACTGTTGCATCGTTGGAAACCCCAGTAAAATGTGTATTCAATCCACATGCTTACGTTGTACCCTGCAGCCCAAAACGTTAGAACTGGGAAAAAACAGTAACGTAATCATGAAGAAATTGGTTCAGTTCCGATTTATGATCGTGAAATATGATAGAACCTCGATCACCGGATCGGTGTCCATTTGCTGAACTATTTCTGTCATGCTTGTCTGATAACATTATTAACGTAATTGAAGGTGCACGTCTACAAAAAGCAACTGGTTAACGGATGCCTCCGAGCAATGTTTCGTAAAAATGGTTAGCGGATTGGTTGAACGTGGAACTCACCTGTTTACTCGGTAGTAGGATATCGACCAGTTGATCAAAATCGCGACGATTCAAAGCGTCGGCACAGTCTAGACAAACGTAGAGTGGTGGCGGTTTGCCACCATGTTGCGCAGAGATACGGGGATTGACGGTCATCTGAAATTCCAAGTATGAGAGCAGACTGTGTGCGTGTGTGTGAGTGTATGAGCGAGCGATTTAAGCCCGGGAACGACTACAGACGCTTCACATTGTTCGAGAGAACCGTATGAAGTGAAGGAGAAAAAATGGCGAGGAAACAATTTATAATTCTATTGAGAGAGAACGGACACAAAGAGAAAATCTAGCAGATCCCGATTTATTTTTACCTCAGATTGGAGGGACCTTTCGGCCGAAACTTCAAATGAGATCAGTGGGAGTTGAACAGTTTATTCACTCCAGTAGTAGTAGTCAGGTTGTGAAAGTTTCCAACTGAGTCAAAACCCAGGAGGTTAGCGCTGAGATGAGCGGGGCAAGATACCCACAACAAGCTCGCAAAGATGGCTTGTGCTATATTTTGTAAATGGAAAAGGAAAACTGATCCAGGCAGCTGCCTGGTGGCCGAGTGAGTAGTATGGTTGCGTTCTGTCTGTCAGGTCCCGGGTTCGATCCCTAGTTGGGTCGATGGATGCGCACAGCTGATGGGGCCCAACCAGGTGGAAACAGCTGTCCATTGCTTTCTACCTTTTCATTTCACTCTTCATTTGTTCCATATAAGGCAAATCCCCTATTTGAAATTGAATCAAATCCTCCATTAATTTCATGTTACAACCCAATTTCGTTAACCGTGTTTTTTTCTCTTGCCCATCCTGTACATCATCCCGAATCATTTGTTCACCGGTTGAGCCTTCTGAACTACAAGCATTCAATAAATTGAACAATTTGATGAGTCAGGTCCACCAGATTTTGATCGAGTTAGGAAGCTATTCAGCAGTAGCAACTCGGCTTTGTCGAGATAAATTACATCAGACATTGAAGAACATAATAAAAATTGATTATATATGTAACCTACAGAGTACATATGATAATATTTAACATTAAGGCCAAATTGCAGCCAATGCACTATCGTTAACTGACCTTCATTGCCAGGGCTTTCCCCGCTTTGTTCGGACAGTCCGTTCGATCGCATGTCAGCGGCTTCCAAGCTATTGAACGGAGAGGAAACGAATTGTCAGAACCTCATATCTCTTTTCATGCAATTGCACTGAATTTTTCTTCATTTAGCGTCAAATCTGTCATACAGATATGATCTGCAAACCCAAATTATTGTATCACATTCCGATCACATATTTTCAACCAACCTTCGGCTGTCTCACTACTGAATACGTATGGAACCAGCCTGTACTCACCCAATCCGGAGACGAAAAGGAAACTTTTTATTTCATATTTCGCTATACTATTTTTGGAAAAAGTTTAAAATTTCCTCTGATGCCACATGGACTGAGATTACTGCCACCTTACCTTGAAAATGTGAACATAGAATCATAGCGCTTTCAGAATCAGTCAATAAGGAGTGAATACAAATGTTGCGGCCACAACTAAGAGCCCCGTTGTATTTTTTTGTGGGGGAAACTGTATTAGTTACTCAAGTTATATTTATTACAAGTGTTTTGACGAATGCGACTGCCAAAGGAAAATCTACTAGAGAAAGTAGAACCAAAACGAAAGTTTAGCTCTTGCCTCCCGAAGACATTTACATTTTTTCTCCCCGCCGTTGCCATTAGTATTTCGGATTATTAAAAAAAATTAAACTCTCGCAAAAGGATTTGTTAGATGTTACCTTATACGCCTCACGAAGTAAAACTGCAAGGCAACGAATGACGATCTCCAAGAGCGTGCATACACGTGTGCGTGGGCAAAGCCTGTCTATTGACAAAAGTATGAGAATTATGGTTAGTTTTATCCATCTTACCAGTCTGTTATTTGGCTGATCTCTATCACTACGTAGCATAATTCCCTTCAAGAATACCTTTTCTAATATCATCATCAAACATTTAAATGAAATTTGAAAATTTAGCGGGAAAAGCATTTTACAAATTGAAGACTAACAGTTACGGTTGCACTTACGTTCCCATGAGTAGTGAACTGGCTGTAATGTTTGATTCCCATGAAAGACACTCGGATACGTTTCGGGCCAGTAATGAAACAGTAAACAAACAGCTGGTAACCGAGCCTCTGTCGGGCCGTAGGCAATGATCATGAGCAGATCCTGAGCGTCAAAATGCAAAATTTCAATGAAGGTTGAAAGCGGACCGATTTTTCAAGTAGGCTAATTTGACTACTATACATAGTAGGTCTCGATGTTCGATAAAATGATCATTAATTTCATCACCATTAATCAATTTAAATCAGCCCCATCATGTGTTTACTCCCAAATGTTAGAAGTAGTGTTAATAAAAGCAATATATTAGGGAAACGGCGAATAAAATGATCACTGTGTGTCACTGATTCAATGAGATAAAACAAAGATTCTTTTAAAAATCTAAGAATGAACGGTTTAGCAACAATAGCAATAGTAAAAATAATTAAATGACAATGATCATTAAAGATATTAGCGTGACTTAAAATGAAGTGCGAAATTAAGAATATATGATTACTGCGATGGAATTGTTTGTGATAACTGACAAAGAGCACTGGACAGTTTTTTCGCCCTGTTTGGGACTCGTCAGCAGTGTGCTGTGCCAAATTAACAAGGATGGGCGTATACACACCATGTAAGTTATGGGACAATATAAATGCGAAGTAAAAGTGTAAGTATCATAGTTAAAGTATCAAACGAACACACTTGTTGGACATTTTTATCGGAGTCTTATTCTCAGCTGAAAGAATTTTCGCTAAATTACGAACTGTGGACTTCAAGCACAGCTATTTACGGTAGAGTGAATCCTGATTCGGTGACGGCGACATTCCAAAAGATCAGAAAGTACCTTACCAGCAGAGAAAAAAACAAGATTCGCTACCACTGTTTTTAAAGATTGAGCAATAATTTACCGATTGGGATTACAGAAACGTCGCTTATTAAAGCTGAACCGCAGCCGACTAGATTGCAACCTCTTTCAAATACTACAGGAAGACAAAGCAATCGAGAATTAATGAGTAAACTGCTTGGATCAGCAAAGAATATGTCATCGAGTGACCCTCGTAAAACGTTCTCAGCATACGAATCCAAAAGGATGAGGGTAAAGTTCTTCTAACCATGCTTCTTTGTTCGGTTCACAGAAAGTTGCTTCAAATGTCAACTCTGGGAACTGAATAAGATCCAAATTTCAAAGGAGAGGTTGAGATGTGGGGGTTATAGATACGTTAAACAAACAGCTAAATGAGAGGGAAGATCTCAAAATCATCAGAAAGTGAAGAACATATGGGAGGTTATCCTGAAAAATTGGGGATTCCGCAATGACGAAAATGCTCTGGGACAAAACAATGCCATCGGTATACTTTTGAAACGAAAAATTAGATGAGATAATTAGGTCATTGAAATAAATTGAGCATAAATACTCATGAAGTATACCTCCCTGGAGAACACCATGGTGGCTTCCAGGCGGTTTGAACATATTTCTCTAACCTTCGCTGACTAAATCCCAATGATGAAATAGTCCTGAGCTGACAAAAAATTTTTCATGATAACCGGTAAATGACAGTCTGCAGACGAGAAGGACGTGAGGAAAACAGTCGAATGCTGCTTTGCAGTCGAGACGCAGAGAGATAAATCGGCATCACGGGAAGGGGGGATCCGTTAAATAAAGTAAACTCAAGAAGCTACCGCATCATGTGTGAGGCTGTTTCGTTTGCAAAACAGGTGAAAAGTGTTACCCGAAATGGTAAAACGCACTTGGGATTCGCCTTCCTCGCTAACTCGAGTCAGTCAGTCAGATGATGATGATGATGTAAAAAATTAAAATTTCTGGTGATACAAGAGAGCGGACTGTACAGTGGTGCATTTGGGCCAAATCAGAAGATGGTGCGGTATTCCGCCGACTGGAAGGAACAATTACTCGGACAGCAGCACACACATGTTCATATTACAGTTCTATTCTGTTTTGAAAAATCAACTAAATCGCCATCGGTTTGGCCTAACCCAACAACAAATATACGCCCTATTTTACGGCTTCAAAGCGCACCTGATCCTTGCTCCACAAACCAGTGTGATCAGCATTTTTGTTCCACTATGGATTCAGCATTTTATCTTCCAGTTGAAACGTCCTGACTTGCTTTGGCTTGTAAGGGATAATCAGTTTGAACATGTCTGTCGACGAATTTCAAGTTTCACTCATCGAATCGATGGGATTCAGATGTAGAACGATGAATTCATCTCCTTTCTTGTGGTGGTTAGTATTTCCCCTCGCTCATGCTGCTTATGCACGAGCACTCACTGGTAGTGTTCAATTGGTCTACTTTTAGAGTCTATTGGATAAACCGCAATCTTTACCAGGGCTTAATAATGTGTCAGTACTACCGAAACTTTTAGCTTTTAGCTAACCAGTCGATACATTGTGACAATCTGTAACCCAAAACCTCTATTGGGTTTTATAAGCAAATCAGGAATCCCAACAGAAAAAATCAGATAGGACTACCAAAAGTTTGAGAAGAAAAACTTTTCTCCCTAGGATAGCAACTCATGAAGCATAGTCCAGTTATTGTGGTATTATCCTGCTCTAGCTTGTTTATGCACTTCCGTAAAATTGTACCATACACACCCGAACGATTAGAAATACACGTACCTTGTGTAACTCTTTCTTCTTGCTCAGAAAGCTTTCGAGAACCCATACGTGATATTCTGTATCGAGGGAGGAGAGGGGGGAGGAGTACAGAAGAATTAAAACGAGATGAGACCAAATGTGCTTGGAATCACCTGGATTCCTTCCCCGGAGGTTAGCAATTAAGAGGTAACGTTACAGTCTAACAGAGGTGAATGAAATTATCAAAATTATTCACAATCGGGGAAATGTAGAGTAAGATCACCGGACGAATGTGTTGTCTACATACGTTTCCTGGTAGGAAGCAGCCAAACTGTACTCGAGACTGGTGGGCCGTTCGAGGAGATGCTGATAAACCGAAATCCTGAGCTCATACTAAGATGGTAGTGAGCCTGAAGCTCAGCAACAATTCACATCAAGGGTTCAACGGTTAAATTAGCCAACGTTATGAATAATAGGTCGATTACATATGCAAACTGGATAGGAATTGGGAACAACTACCCAAAATATTTTAGCCATATAACCCGGTGCTCTGTTTCGTTCGTTAACCAGAAAAGGACTAACTTATGTCATCATTGGATACGCCACCCTGTAAACTGATGACTAGAGCCATAATAGAGCGATGGTAAGCGGTGGTGGCCCGATGGTAACGTCACCAAAGTATCATCACGGTGATGTGTGTTCGAATCCCACCACCAACACCGCCGCCTGACTTTCCCCATTATGTGTATTGAGTGGCAGTTCTTTGATTGGCCGTTTTCCCCTTCCTGAAAATTGTATCTTTGTATATTCAATAAAGCGAAGTAAAAAGAAAAAGCTATAAACACCGAGTTGAACTTCGGTTGTCGTAGCATGCACGGTGTGAACTCAGAATGGGGATGCAATCTGAAACATTGTCAGTAACATCAATTATTCACTTTCAATTATCAGTATTTTCTTGACCCCCCTCTCCTCCCGATTCTCTTTTGAAGTTACTCCATGTGGTTAGATTGCACATCGATCAGATTTTAGGCATTTTAGGCACACTCGACGACCTCAGCATTTGAAGAAAACTGGTATTCCGGAAACACCGTATCTCAACAGATTATTGGAGCTGTTAGATGGTTCAAATGACCAAATTTTTTTTGACTGTCTAAACATGAGCGCGGAAACAACCACATGAAACTTGTTCGCGAACAGAACTCAGTGATTTGCTAGTGGTACATCTGTGTTTAGCACTCCAGTCCCGGTTACTGTTCTCGGTCAGCCAAAGTCACCCGATTTTAACTAATGTCACACCACTATATGGTCAAAATTACCTGTTTCTCATTGCAATAAATCCTGACTTTGATGAGATGCTTTGTACAAAGTTTCTCGAATCGTGCTCCTAGTTGTGAATGTAAAAAGGAAGGTTTTCTTAACCCAATCACTACTCGCAAATATTTGTACTAACATCTCACAGATCTGTCAATATTGACCTGGTAATGGACTGCCAAGGAGGCTAAAGCCTGGCCTAAAACAACAAAAAATTGTGTTTGCGAGCGTTTCTCGTTTTGGCTAATCCGAGAATATATTTTGCGGATCCAAATCCTGATACAAGTTAACTCCAAAATGACGAGTCCAGTCTCACACAGGCTGAAATCCCCGTGTGGAATTCCGGACAATTACAGCTGGAAAATAATCCCCTGTTGTCACGGCAAATGAACATCAAACAGCTATATCATTCAAACAAACACTACACGATCGGGAATAATGTTAGCGGGGTTCGATGCACCAACTACTAGCAAGGAAGCAACAACAACTTACCAATCTTTTCCACATGTTGAAACACCAATGTGAGAATTGCTGGCACGGAATCCATTGCATACGATTCTTGATCTTCCTTTCCATCTGAATAACACAATTATGAGTGACGGAGCCTGTCAGTACGTGTTGATTCCGGTAAGCAACACTTAATTTAGACTAACATCCAACACGAATGTTTTAATCTTCACATTAAAAATTATGCTATAAAATACTTGGAATTTCGTCATGCACAGAGTAAACAAAGTGTGAACTCAAGAGCTAGAAAACACTCGGCAGCTATTTGGAATTGTTTAAGTTTCATCAGCGAATCCATTGACCCATGGATTGCTGAGACCTGAGTTGTTCAGCTCCCATTGCTTCTCCTCAGGGAAGCCTTCCCGAGATATTATGTGATTTAAATCAATTGTGGTGCGACGTGGATCTACCAGGAGGAGTGCTTGTCCGATGGAACTTGACGAGAAGCAAAGAAGTGTGTACTTTTTGTTTGCAGTCCGTAGTTTGGTTTTCGCAAGGCCTTTTTTATTTTGAAAAGGTGTACACGTAATATCGAGACAAATCCGAATGCGGTTTTCCGATCCCAGAGCGCTGTCGGACTAAGGAGTTTTCAACCCAAGACGGCGATCGATGGGACTCGTATTTTCGCCACTGTGTGTGTGCTCGCTCGCGCGTTCGCTTGCTCGCACACACGCGCGCATGTGCAACGAAGTGAATGTCCGTCCCACTCACTGGACAGGTTGCAATCACCACAGTTGGAGACGGAGAGAATCGGAGCGAGCCCGTACGAACTGCAGATCGGTGTTCGAATGTTCGAACGAACGCATCACATAATGAATCATGGGGCAACTTTAGTGCGCTCGTGAGTGCGTTGGTGTGTATGTGTGTGCGGTGGCCAGATGATCCCCGGCCCCCTGGGGAGAGGTTGGGGATAAATGGTATCAATCGCACTGAAGAAACGAATAGCTACAATCACGCTTAAAAAACAGATTTCGACAATTGAACTGGTCTCAGGCAAACGAGCGTGGTATTGTATTGCATTGTATTGTAATGACTGGTTCAGGCCTACATTTCAGTCAAAATTGTGTTCACCATTACAGTGGGATAAAAAATGAACATTTTAATACTACAATGATAAAACTTATATATTTGTAGGTCTAAAACTAGTTCTTTCCGAATCTTCATTTTGTCACTTCGGATACGAGCCACAGAGGGAATCGTTGAATTGCAACAAATGTTTATGCGGAGGGTAAGCAGCAAAAATTGGATCGGGTTGTAGCGTGGGAAGGGCAACTAGATATATCGGGATTGAGTATCTTATGGACGAAATTCTCCCATGAAGTAATGCGAAAATCACAATTTTGTGATTAATGTTTCAACGAATTAGAGAAACACGGCTGACACTTATCAAACCGTGACGAAGAGCAATGAAATCCTTTTTAAGTAGTCCAGGGTAAATAACGGGCGAACAATAAAGTATGCCAGGAAAAATGTATTGATAAACAAAGGAACATATAGTTTCATACGTCACTCTATGGGTATTATGTAAAACTACCCCATAATGAATTTGTCCTATAACTATTTTCAATCGGATCAATCAGTTGTAACATTACATCGCCATATTGTCCATAATGTACATCGATGCAATATTGTCTGCTTCGACACAGAAGATCTTCCCCGTTTTTGCGATGGAAAAATCCATGTGAAATCAAATAAAGAACACGAAACTACTGCGTAGTCTTAAAGTAGTACTCCGATTTGAGTGTTGTATCCAACATTTACGGTTTAAATGACTCATCTGTGGTGCGCACTTTATCAGCAATTGAATGCGTCACTCCAACCACATTGTTATGGTCAGATTCCACAATCCTTTCTGGGGAAAGGATTTCGACTCCCATCACAAAAGTTTACTACGGGAGCATCCACAGGGACACAAAAATGCACGCACTGCTAATGAGTCTCTACAGGGATGACAAAAGCACGCAGCGCTTTCTCTCAGTCATCACTCGAAAATTTCCTAAGCAAATGTCATGTATTCGGTTTGACAAAAATTTGCTTATAGGAAGTGAAAATGCAACAGTACCGGTCCAATTGAATGAGCTAATCCAAATATAACTTTTTAAATATAAAAAGTTTTATATTCAAAGTGGGAGCAGTGTAACTATAAGCAAGTGATTATTTCAGTTTCAGTCTGTAAAACCCTTAACCATACACTCTAGTGAACCGGTTTTGGTTGCAGACTTTTGGCTCTCCGTTTGGATGAAGCAGTAGGAGAAAGACAGGCAAGGTGACAGTAGAGTTAAAGAAAAAATGGAGAATTTTAGTGATCTAAAGTTGTAAGGAATTTGAGAAGATGCACGAACGTCACTGTTTGCGACACCCAGTCATATCACTCAGTTTCTCTAACCATCGGTTACGATCATCCCAAGGTTCACAGCTAACGAAACCTATATGACCGAGTCTTCTGTTTAGGGTTTTCATATCCTCTTGCCAGCTTTTAGCTTGACCACCCTTGGCTTTTTTCCACCCATTAACTGCGTCGGAAAATATCGAGCGCCGTGGCAACCTATTTGGTAACATGCGTAACGCACACTCCAGTCAAAGTAGCATATGGAAGTCGACTACTTACTCCAGTGGACGACTGCGAATACCGTCAACTCCATGACCAACACTGAACCTCTATCCTTAAATGCCAATGGGAACTGCCCATCTGAACCGGAGACCTTATGCCTTTTGAGATAACGTATATCCCGGGAAACCTCCCGGACCGGCATCAACTGGGAATAATTGCCCAGTCGAGGTGAATGGTGATACGTCAGATGTCGTTGGGGACCAGTTAAATTGAGCTTCGAAATATTCAGCCCATCGATCATGGCGGCGTTGCTGACGGTGAATTAATGCGCTATCAGATTTCTTAATTACCTCACTTACGCCTATTTCCCTGGGCCAGTATCCCTAACTGGACGGAAAAGAATACGAATATTACCAATAGCTCCAACTTTCTCCATCTCTCTACACTTTCCTATCCACCACTTCTCGCGGTCATTGATGAACTGGTGTTTCAGGGCTGTGCGTACTGTCATATGCAGTATTAGGAGGATGTGTTCCGCGGGCGTCTAGTGGGGCAATCTTCAGTGGAGCCTCTCTACGGTTAACTGATGGCGATGTGGTCGATTTGAGCCCATCTCTACGAAGGGGTTGGCGGTTTCCATGTAAGGCGGTGTCTTTTCTTGTGCGAGACTTTGGTGCTTCTTAGGAAAGATTCGTGGTCCGCGTAGAGTTGAAGTAGTCTATCTATGTTTTCCGTCTGGTTGGCTGGGATTGCATGTGGTCCGCCAAAGCGTCTTTCGGGGTTCATCCAGGGATCCGGATTGAGCATTGAAGTCTCCGGAGACTACTACGTCGTCAGTTGATTGAGCATTTTGGAGTAATTGAGAAAGAACCTTATGGAATTCATCTTCGATTGCAGGTGTACTGCAATCGGTCGGTGGAAACACTTATACGATGAATAAACATCGACGCTTCGTTCGGTAGCTATTGATTCGTACGGAACTATTCAGATGTACAGCGCAAAGTTGGCTACTAACCGGTATCTAGTCAAGAGGCGAGTGCTCAGCCTTGGCACTTGGCGCAATCCAAACACCAGCAAAACCACGAGCGTCGTATGCCGAAGCACCTGACACACGGAGGGAGAGGCGTGAGGATGAAGTTGGATCAGGAGAATACAGAGAGATGACTGAAGTAGGGTCTTGAATGCAAGTTTCAGAGAAACAGCATACGTCTAAATGGAAAGTTTCCATGGTTTTAGCTAAGGTGGCCTGTTGACCAATCTGATAGAGTGTGGACATCGAACGCGGCTAAGTGAAGGGGGAATTTTGGCTTCAGAGTTCCTGTAACTTCTGATTGTTTGACCTGACTGGCGATATCCGGTGGGTGGCGTAAACAGGAGGCATCTAGGATTATTCGGGAATTGTGAAATGCTCTCTCACCGTTAAGAGAATGCCCCAGGTACCCCGCTCCTACGTCCATTTAGCGGGTTGTTTTTTTACCGATAAACTCCCCTCACCGTGTTTATTTGCTGGAGTGACCTCTCCAGAGGCGAGCGTGGCTAGAAAAAGGAAGTCAGGTGACCAAGAAGCTGGCCTTGTGAGACTGAGATTTATCTGGCCTCTACCCATTGACCTTCCAAGCATGGTTGGATCCGCGGCTGTGAAAAGCCATCCTGTGTAGCTCGCATGGCTATGGAGGTACGCAAACCATTACACCACGTCAAGATGCGGTTTCATCGTGTTGGGCAAGTGATTTTAAAACGCTTTCAGTAAACTAGAGTAAGGAAGAAGAACTAAAGGATGATCCAGATGCCCATTCAGTGATCCAGAACCATATGTGTCTTGAGGAACCACTCGCATTTGTGAGTAGTGTGCAAAATAGTTGGTGGAATCTTTCGACCATCAAAAATTAACAATACCACCGAGGGCAATTTGCTAGGTCTTAAAGAATAACTACCGGTTGCTACCGTCATTACCCGGTGCGCCAGAAACTTCAATGGTATGTTTCCGATGAGATTTCTGTGTTATGTATACCAAATTAATGATGTCCCAACCGTAATCTACAATAAACAGATTCCCTCGACTGAGCACCTTCTTGTGGAATTATAACCTGTGTTTTGAATATGAAGAGAGTAGTTATTTTCCTCCGTGAGATGAAAGGAAACAATTTCTTATATCTGTATTGCAATATTGGCGGAGCTAACTAGTTAGCTACAGTGCACCGTCAAAATTGTGGCCTATCAATAAGCACGAATTTTAATCACTTCCGGAAACTGATTTTATACAAACTTTACTTGCCTTATCAAGGTACATGAAGGCAAGTATTCATGCAAGTTTATATAACCTCCATGGGGAAATCAGCAAACGGAGACGAGCTCCGGCTGGCCAT